CAGAAATATGGAAGAATTAACAAAAAGTCTCACCAGAAATATGGAAGAATTAACAAAACGTCTCACCAGAAATATGGAAGAATTAACAAAATATCTCACCAGAAACATGGAAGAATTAACAAAATGTCTCATCAGCAATATAAAATAATGGAATATAGAGTAATTGTTTTTTCTTTGCTATAAATCACCATTGAACTCTACCAGGATCAAGTTTTTAGAATTACTAGGTTATTGTAAAGTTTGTTTCCCATATTTTCCCATGGTTATAAAGATTCCATTGTATCAGAGTTTTTATAAGGGGCCGGATTCTTCACAGTAGGTGTCTGTGACTTGTTGGTGATAAATTCGAACAATAAATGAACAGAACACACTCCATTTGTTTTAGAATAATATATTCAAAACAAGACAAACGTATGTACAAACATTCTTTACACTATGGATATCACAATTGTATCTAAAACTCTAAATAATTCTATTTTCTTGTCAAAGGTCCTCACAGGCTGATTTGATTATTTTAGAATCCAATTTACAGGACGAATTATTTTTCTCTACTCTTATCACAATAGAATCTGTGATAAATTCACTTAAGTTACCTTTTTTGTTACCACAGTTGTATTCAGAACTTTAAATAATTGTCTCCATTTTGCCAAAGTCCACACAGGCGGGTTCAATTACTTTAGAACATCCTTTGACAAGACATATTATTCTCTGTTATCTCTGTGAAATTGTAGTATTTTGGCACTTGTGTATAAAGTTAACATCATAAATAATATTCAAAGTTAAACTGGTACACACAATTAAAAACATTATACTTAGGTCGTCAACTTTTTGAAGGCCATAGATAGGCCTAAATAAAATGTTTTTAATTGTGTACCAGTTTAACGTTGAATATTATTTATGATTTTAACCACTGTGAAACTCACTTTAGATATTGCCCCTTACGGCTAAACTAACAATCACGCAGTCGAACTTCACTTTTTTCCGACGTAACTTGCGCTATAACATTCTAAGATATAGAAACGCTATGATGTAACAATATTCAATTAAGGGAACCAGAAAAATACAGATGGTTCGAGTTATGTGAACGTCATTACAACAATTAAATACACACAAAACGTACGACTTGTACCGAATTACAAAACCAAATTTGTTATAACTATCACGTTTTAAATAATTATTTTTAACACAATTGTTATAAAAACTAAATAATTATTAAATATTAGATCCCTAAATGAACTAAATAATAACTCTTACACTAAACAGTCTTGTTTTTTTTTCTTATTGTTATCTGGAGAATATAGATAGTTTTTTCTCTCTAACTTTATTTTTAAAATGTTAGCGTCAGACCAAATCGTAGCTTTAAAAAAGTTTACGCAGCCGCAGACGTACAGCTAGTTACACACTCGACGCATGCGTACCGTGTCCTGAATTATAGACTCATGCAGTTAATTACCTAAAAAATTTGTTCAATCTGTTTATTTCAGCTGACACCCAACTCTTTTTTTGCACTTGAAAACTTATGGAATTAGTCTGACTATTAATTACCCTGACTATTAATTAGCCTGCATATTAATTAGTTTGACTAGTAATTAGCCTGTCCAATCTTTAACGGCTTAGAAAATGTGGTTACTGAACCATCAATAAATTAATTTTATAGTATTTAATTATACAACCACTTGAAATGACTTTAATTTGTATGACACATTTTGTAACATGAAAAATATATTTGACATATTTTCAGGTCAGAGCTGCCCCCGTGGCACAGCGGTATGTCTGCGGACTTACAACGCTAGAATCCGGGTTTCGATACCTGTGGTCTGCAGAGCACAGATAGCCCATTGTGTAGCTTTGTACTTAATTACAAACAAACAAGTCCAGAGCTTTAGTATTATTACTCATGCAATGATAACTCTAGAATTAGTTTTATTATTAGTTTGTAAACTAACTTTAGATTTTTCCCATTTCATTGAGGCTTATCCATTAACTTTGGCTATTATTAAGTACGATGAGGCTTATCCATTAACTTTGGTTATTATTAAGTACGATGAGGCTTATCCATTAACTTTGGTTATTATTAAGTGCAGTGAGGCTTATCCATTAACTTTGGTTATTATTAAGTGCGATAAGGCTTATCCATTAACTTTGGCTATTATTAAGTGCGATGAGGCTTATCCATTAACTTTGGTTATTATTAAGTGCGATAAGGCTTATCCATTAACTTTGGTTATTATTAAGTGCGATGAGGCTTATCCATTAACTTTGGTTATTATTAAGTACGATGAGGCTTATCCATTAACTTTGGTTATTATTAAGTGCGATAAGGTTTATCCATTAACTTTGGTTATTATTAAGTACGACGAAGCTTATCCATTAACTTTGGTTATTATTAAGTACGATGAGGCTTATCCATTAACTTTGGCTATTATTAAGTGTGAAGCTACACAGTGGGCTTTCTGTGCTCTACCCATCACAGGTATTGAAACCTGAGTTTTAGTGTCGTAAGCCTGGAGATTTACCGATGAGCTACTTGGGGGTGGGGGGGGGAGTATCTGTTAGGTACTTCTAATCATTTAACCCCGAAGACTCATTACGAAATTGTATAATTTGTTTTTACTTTCTAAAAACATGAGTTTTTAGTAAATGATTAAGAAAAACAAAAGTTGTTTATTGCATCCATATTGACCTGAAGTATGAAATATTTTAACCTTGTAAACTGGACCTTCACTTACAGTATTAAGCCTTGAATTATCGAAAATCTTTCCTTGTTAAATTATAATGTCGGTTCCATTTAAATAATATTATATGTCATTAATATTTAACTAGTTTAGCAATAGTTTCAATGTACAATAAAGTTTCTCGTTTACACGTGAACCAGAGACTAACACTGTTTCCTGGTGTTTTTAGAAGGACTTCCGGGACTTGGGTACCATGTGCCAGTTCAGCAGTCAGTGTAAGAGCAACTGTTGCCTCATGGAGCATCGAACTAACAAACGAACTTGTCAGATGAGAGCGCTGAAAGGGGAACTATGTTCCAATAGCCAGATCAAATTCGACTGCTATGCGGATTTCTGCCCTTGTGAAAGTGGAAATGGTAATTTTGGGGTTATATACATATCTCTTCATGTCTGTACGTTTACTTATGTTTACATACACTATAATGAAGAAGTTGTAATCTGTCCGTTAACGTATACTCAACAGCTTAGTTTCTACTTAAATAACAGGTCAATAAAGCAGTGAATATAACTTAAAACCATTTTATAGTCACGAATGACGACATATCAAAAATAGACCCCAAATAAAAGTTTCACCTACAAATCATAATTTCCTGTTTTGAACAGCTAACTTTATTGAGGACCCATTTTAATTGTTTTATTCTTTTTCATGTTATTTTTCTTTCAGAGTTTTGCACGGATTACCAATGTACAGAATGAGATCGACGGAAATTTGAACAACGACGGATAAAACAAACTTGGAAGAGTAGATTGTGACAAGAAACAAGTCTACACACTTCCTGTGAATGTTGATATAACACAGGAAAACTAATAAACAATCTCCAGGTTAAACAATGAAACACCTGTGTAGGTTAAACAATGAAACATCTGTGAATGTTGATATAACACAGGAAAACTAATAAACAATCTCCAGGTTAAACAATGAAACACCTGTGAATGTTGATATAACACGGGAAAACTAATAAACAATCTCTAACATATATAGATCGTATATTAGTTTTCCAGTGTTATATCAACACGTCGTTATGTAAATTTCATAACTACTTTTCTTTGATGTAATTATATTTTATTATCAGTAATAAGAAAAACAATAAAAATATTTTACCTTCTTCAACGTAGCTTTCTGGAGATGGAATATGTACATCCGAAACGTTATAAAATTAATGTTTGTTACCGTACACAAACGTGTCAAATGTTTGTTGTTGTTGCCGTCGTTCTACTGTTTGTCATTGCGCTGAGATTTCTGTCAAATGAATCTCTTGTATCTTTGTAATTGTCCATACGAAACTGTTTCATATTCAGAACTTTGTAAATGTCCACATGGATGTTGTTTTACAACATGAATCCCAATTTTCTAATGAATTTTCTACAATTAAACAGTAACAACACTTAATCGCTGGTGTGTTTGATATAATTATAATATTTGAACTACAGAGTGCAATTCCGTAAAAAGTCTACGTTCCTATTTATAGTTGGCCACAGTAAAGCAGAGTAGACATAAGATCATAGTAAAACAGAGTAGATATAAGGTCATATCAAAACAGAGTAGATATAAGGTCGTAATCAAACAGAGTAGACATAAGGTCATATTGAAACAGAGTAGATATAAGGTCGTAGTAAAAT